TCCAAGCCACATCCTCATTTCCTTTGGATCAACTTTAATATTTTCCATCTGCATCTAGGTTTCCCTAGTGGTCTCTTTTCTTCAGATCATTCTAATTATGTTTGGTGAGGAGTCCAAGTGACAGAGCTCTTCATTACACAATTTTCTCTGGCCTCCAATTATTTCATCCAACATAGGTCCATTTATTCTCCATGGTACTCTATAGTCAAACACCCTCAATCTACATTCTTTCTTTAATGTCAGGGATCAGTTGTCACACTCATACAAAACTACAGGCAAAATGGTTGTACAGTACACTCTTTGTAATCCAATATATATGGGATCAAGGTCCTTCCAGATTACCGAAAGTGACTTATTATTGGAAAAAGTCAGAACAGATTTATTAAGTTGTACTGCACAACATAGAAGTTTCAAAATTGATTGTCCTTTAACAATTTATTATCATTTATTAATCTTACATACATAAATATGTACTGTGAATTTTTGTTCACTTATTCAATATTTAGCGCTTAATTTCACTGCATTTTTACAAAAGAAGTGTCAATAATTTTCTGTCTTCTGTTTCTAAGTGCCTCTTTTTAAACTTTGTCTTGCAGTCTTTACAGTGTGAGGATGTCTTCAGCTTGCATGTTGTATTTTTTCAGCCCATGTATAACATGTGTTGAAGGCACTCATGGCGTCATTGTGTGATATTGTGTGGATAATTGGTGGAGTACTTGACCCTTGCTTATTCTCACTGTTGTCGTTTTCTAGCACATTGTTGATTATCTCTTCATCTGTCATGATTTGAAGATTTTCCTCATCATCTCCAGCTAGCTAGTTACTTATGTCAGCAAATGTTGGACCTGATGAATCTTTTGCACACAGTTCAGCTATTGCTTCTTGGAGATCAGAAGTTAGGACTGTCCCATCATTTTCCGATTCTTCTGGCCCTGTAAGGTCACTGCTACCAGTGGATAGTGGATGTGAAACCACAACTTTTTCAAAGAAGAAATAATGGTTTTAGGAGATACATTTTGCCATGCATGTGCAAGATTAAAAACTGCCTCTTTGAGGTTAGTTCATTTCAGACATTGAATGATATAATTTTGGCTTATTACACAGCATAGAAGGCTCTTTTTGTAATATGACTTCACAAACTGTATAACTTTCTGATACATTGGTGGTAGAAATGGGGTGCAGTTTGACGGTAAGGACATTACCTCTATTAAACTTTCTCTTGATTTTAACTGGTCTTTGTTCGTGTGTCCAGGAGCATTATCTACAATTAATACTGCTTTAACTGGTAAACTTTGCTTTTTAAGAAATGTTTTTACTGATGGCTCAAAACTTTAATGGAACCATTCAGTAAACACTTCTTATGTTACCCAACCATGGCTTTGGTTTTTGTATATTACTAGAAGACTTTGGTTTTTAAATGCTCTGGGCTCTGCTGCCTTACCAATCACCAGCATTTCAAGTTTGTGGTTGCCACTTACTTTGAATAAGGCATGAATGTAATTCGGTCTTTAGGCATTTGGTGTGTGGCTGCGCTTTCTTCAGCTCTGTGAACAAAAGTTTCTGTGGGCAAGAGCCTCCAAAATAGACCACTTCTGTGTTATACAACTGCTCTGGCCCAAGACTAGCTCTTCAATTTTGTCTTCGAATTTTTTCACTAAAGGATCAACATCTGAGACATCACAAGATACTTTATCTCCTGTTGTGATTAGAAAACTGATTCTGTATCACTTTTTAAATTTATCTAGCTATCCATTGCTTGCTATCAAATCATCTTTTCTCGTGGTTATTTTGTAAAAATATTTTGCTTTCTCGAATAATTTCCACAGAAATATGAGTGTTTCTATTACTTTCTTGTAAGAACTAAGTGTAAAGAGCATCTTCAACTTGAAGGTACTCACCAGATTTTAGAGTTTGCCTGTCAGTGGGGATACTGTTGGTATTTTTCACAAAACACTCAATCTTCTCTCTTTGTTTCATAATATTGTATATTGCAGCACGTCCAACACCATACTCTTCAGCCAAATTAATAAGTGTTCACATTTGTCAAGTTTCTTAATTATTTCTGCTTTATCACTTGAAGTTAAAAGTTATATGTTTTACGTCTGTCAGAACTGGACACCTTCATAAATCCAGCACTGTCTGAAAAGTACTGCATAAGAATGTAAAATACTGAAGAACTGAAACACTGTGTACTAGTGAGGGTTTAAATAAATCAGTTTGTCAAGCTCGACTGAACACAAGTCAGCTTCTGCTGGCTGTAGAAACTGCATGAAGTCGTGGACACCTGTCTGGCACCTGATGCTGGATTACTGGATGTGTAGGACTAATGCACGGCCTTATTACCAAGATTGTACTGTATTATGTACACATGTTATTTGGCTCTGAGGAAAACAAAAGATTCATTCATTCATTCATTCTCTGAATTTAATGTGCTTGTAACTACTTTATGAATGAAATTTTGATTTGTTAGCCTTATTCCAAAGTATGTGAACATTACCACAGTTTCAAAGGATCTGTAGCTGTAGTTATGTGTGATTCTGATGATGAATCATCAACTTTTTCTTGCTTTCTTCTGTGTTTACTTTTAGACCATCCTCCTTACTAGCATCAGTTAGAGCTTCTGTGTTTTTCATTTATGATATTTGTATTATTTCTCAATAGATTTATTTCTTTAGCAGAGACCAGAAGCTGATGTGTCCCATTTAATTTTAGCCCTACTTGGATTTCCTGGTCCTTCCTAAAGCAATGGTTATAAAGCATCCTCTGTGTCTTAAGGACCACTCTGAATAGGAAACATATCAACAATTTACCTATACAGCCTTTGCTGTAAGTTTCATATAAACATATTGTAATGTGTTTTGCCACTGAGCATGCCATTCGGATTGTTAATTGGTTTTTTTTAACAACCTACAAATCATAACTACAAATACTTATAACACTGTTACAGGTTTACACACTTTACAAACCTTACACAATAATCTCTTCACTCTATCTTCAGGAGGCTTAACTTATTTATAATGCGGGAGCTATACAAGTGTCACTGAATTACACACTCCCAATATCTTCTCAGTTATCACAGACTATCACTGATTATCACATGTAAACACTTCTGATCATGCATTCGGTTCTTCTTATTCCACGACTGCTATACTTCAATTGAACTTATAATGTCTTCTTCACTTTCACAATTCACTCGCTACAACTGAACTCAGTGACTGCTAGACTTCCACTGGACTCCTTAGGCATTCCAGTTTCTCTTATAAACCCTCAGCTGGACAGCAGAAAACGCTCCTCGCTTCCCTGTTGCATAATCACTCTGTTTACCGATTGCCTAGCAACAGTCATTCCACAGACTCCCCAGTTACGTGACGTCACAACCTACTGGGGAGGAGTGTTTACCGAGCGTTGCATAGTTATGGGATGAGTGGGGTGTGACGTCACTCACACTTCCTCTTGTGCAATCCAAGCATTCACAGAGTTGTCACCTAGCAACATGCTGATACAATCCACAACTCTCAACAGTTTCTGCATAGAGCCAATGCACCACAATATATTAATTATCCTGACTAGTTTCATAGGTATTCCAAACTCAGTGAATATGTTGTATTGTAATTCCCCCCTAACTGAATTATAGTTTTTTTTTAAGTTTGTGAATGCCTGTCTAATTGTATGGCCATTTTTTCTTTCATATCTGACAAGTGTCAGAAGTCCTATTAACTGAGCTGTTACTTTTAAACTCACACTGTTGATTCCTAGTAGTGTCATTTATATGTGAATGTAACCTCGAGTTAAAGTACTGAATAAACTTCTGTATAAAGTTAATAACAGCGATTCATCTCAATAATTCCTTATCTGTTTTATCACCCTTGTAAATAGGTACAGTGGTAGACTTATTCCACTGTGGAAAATGTTCTTCCTCATTCCACATAGAATTTAAGAGCTTATGGATCCCTGAACATAACATCTGCTCGTACTTGAATTCTGCCAGAATTTTATCAGTACATGGTCTTTCTAATTTGCAATCCAAACCTTAGAAGGACTAGATTGCGGTATAAATGGCTCAGCTGTATCTCCCTCTGTCTAGCATCACTAACCTCATGCACATTCAGTAGTTGGTTCCATGTATTCAAGATGATGTCGGAATCTACAAGCAGATCTCCCTTCTCATCCTTTATCATGTCAGTTATAGGCTGGTAACTCTTCCTCCATAATAAAAACAAATGTTGATGCAGTAGTATCTTCTTTGTTATGAATACTGATTGTTGTCCAGATGGTGTATTCCATATTCTATATATCTTCTCTTCCTACATTAGTTTTTATTTTTGTATTAGGCTCTAATGTTTTTATTCTTACTGCATTTTGCAAGCTCATTAGTTTTGTCTTTTAAGTGTTCTCTGTTTCTATTTCTGAGATGTGTACTGCCTTCATGTCTTAAATTATTGACATTATTTCCAGTTGCTGCTGTTGTAAATAGTTATATTTTCATTACAAAATATTTCTTTTCTGTGTATCATAAAGAAAAAGCACTTTACTCTTTTGTAGGTTTTATATTTGCTTTAATAAAATGAATATGTGGTTGTTAAAGTAAACGTGAAAAATTAAAGTGCTTTTACTTATTTATGTCACTAGCTTGTACAGTATTTGATGTGAATCTTTGTAATGAGATTTGTGGCACTGTACAGAAACCCCAAAAGAAATTACATGCAGAGCACGAGTGATGGCACCCAAGCTATTTCCGTTGTGCTTAATGTTATATATATCTAGCCTTTTCTAGCATGTTGCATTCAGACCAAAGCAGTTGTCACTGCGACATTCATGTGAATGGAAATGATACATAGCTGGAAGGGAATATATGGAAATATATTTGAGGGGAAATATTAACAGCTTGAGGAAGTTGTAGAGGGGATCATTGCAAGAGACGTCTTTCGATGACTTCAATATAGTTGACCACATCATATTTTAAAATTTATCCTTTATCCATTATCAATTTTTGTGTCCAGTGGATTCCCAAGATGAAGAGCTTACCGCAGTTCTTCACAATCTCGAGAACATTGCTGATATTGATGAAGATAGTATCTTGGGGTCTCAGATATGCCAAGAATTACAAGATGAGGAAATACATGGCTGTGATGATGAAGATATGCAAGACTTCAGTGAACCCCTAGATGCAGTACTGGATTGTTACACAGATGATTACCATCAGAAAGAAAATGTAAAAAGGTATGTGCTGAGTGCTTTTAAAGTGAAAAGTCATGCATGCCTGGTCTCAGATGTGTTCATACACTCAAATTCCAATGATCTCTTCAGTACAATAAATTATAGGTTTATGAAGCATTAGGTGTTTTGGTTTGCTGAAAGGTTGTCTGTAATTTGCTCCTTAAAACTGGCACATTATGTCTTGATTTGCTTTTATCAGAAATTACATACCAGGGAAAGGAATGTGATGACACATGCAGACTTGAATCAGTGTTACTTATTTATGATTTTGCAGTGCACCATACCACAACATAGCAAATTAGTGCACAGTTTTTACATTAGAGCATTTTAAATGAGGATAAAATGTGTCACCATACAAATACAGTAGCCTAACATGAATTATCCAAACCATAGTCTGTTAGCACCTGCTCACTCTGGTTCCTCGCTTGCAGATTTTCTCCTTTTTTCTTCTACCCTGAATTTGTAGGCAGTATGATCCTCCGAAACGTCAGTTAACACAATGTCTACACGGCTCCACATCCAAGAAGTCTGCTTTCTTCATAGTTACTGCCGTAAAAATCTCAAATCTTACATGACTTATCTAGTTTTCAGCTTATCCATACATCTTTTTAAGTGCATTCACAACCCTGCTGGGTACATATTAAATTTAAATTTAAATTCCCATATTGGCAGCAGGCGGGAGTTAATTTAAATGTCTGCCATTGTAGAGTATTAAAAATTGTAAGCATGTTACTGAAAATGCTGTGATTTCTACAATTTTTGTGATAAACGAACTAAATGAACACTTCTTTTGTCTAGAAAGAATACAGAATCAGATATTGTAATTTACAGATTTTAAAATCTGTAAAAATTGTTACACTGATTCCAAAAAAGTTTTTCCCAATTTCGAGCATATGCATGTGCAGAAACTGTATGCATACAGTTTCTGCACAAAACTTTTCTGCAGTATAAATGCATGCTGCTGACATCCTGTCTTACTATGTCTTATCTGGCAAAAGGGATGGAAGTTTATGTTTGTATTGCACATTCTCCAGTCACGTCGGAACCTTTCTGTATGCACAAATGTGGGCGAAGTCTTATCATACTTTGTCCTTCAGAAACTCTGACTGCGTATATCTCGGACTAGCCACACAGAGGTACTGTTCTTGCAATAGCCCCGCATTTCCCTCTTGCTTCCTCACCACTTTCAGAGCCGTCTGTACCGCATTCTGAATGGTGTGATTTATGAGCAGCCTCTCAATTTCGGCTTCTTCCATGCGAAATGAGGCCATGGTGGATAGTTGAAATTGCGATGTTTTATAAGCGTTACGATTAGAGGAGGCCACTCGACATCATTGGCCGACTTACTCTAATACGAGACTGAGGTGTCGTATGTGCTTTTCGCATGGGAAATGGAGTTATATCCGGACAAAGTGCATGAATTGCGACGTCAGACTCTGCATTCAGTTACATGACGCAGGAGGGAAGACTGTCTACTTATAAAGTGGGTGCCCAAAAATAATGTAAGTAGAACAAGAATTTCTATCGTAAAATTTGATTTTAAAACACTGTTTGCTCACGTGGACTGCGCATACCCATACGGTGTCGCACGGCCACTCTGCTACACTTTAAAGGTCTCCATACAGTGTCGCTAGGCTCTTAAAGGTTAAGGTACTTAGTCTCTCAGTCCATCTGTATGCATGATATAGATTGATAAGTGGTGAACAGATTTTTGTGCAATTTGGTACTGGAGAATTTTACAGGATTGCAAGTCATTTCAATTTGCATTTGTATCGGACAGTTATAATGAACACTTTATGTGGGCACCTGCATGCATTTCTTCACATACCTCAAGTGTAACTCGATAAATATTTATGAGAGCAAAAAACATGTTTTGTACAGAATTTATAGAGTAAACATGTTTCATATCCATTACACATTTTCCCTACGTCATTTGGCTTTTGAGATAATTCACCTTATTAGATGCTATGCATACATTTCTGACTTTCTTTATTCAACAATTATCAATGGTGGTTCACACTGGAAAATTACCCTTTAACTCTTCAATGTGGAGTGTTTAGTATGTTCATTAGACCATGTATGTTGTATGCCATAAAATGACAAGTGCAAGGTTATATTTATTACTTTATATTACAGTTAGTTTCAGAGCTATTGTAGTCATTTTTACGTAAATAGATGGTCCTTTGACGTGTGTAATGTTGTAAAACCTTATTTTCTGCAGTTTTTATTTCTTGATCCACACACTTCCACTTTTACATCCAGTAATATCATCTGGTATATGCACTAGTGTGCACGTGCGCATACGAAAAACCAACTTACCACCACACTGCCTGGAACCGTACTGGGACAGCCATGTGGTCAGATTGTACGACATGCGTATATAATTATTACCAACATATACAACAGAAACAACATGCGTATATTAGTATTACCAACATTCCCCCATAATCATAGCATGTAAATTAAATAACTCTAATTAATAATAATAACCAAAATATTATGGTACAATCACATGGGCACATAAATTCAATTTATACAATCAAAAGGTTTCATTCAAATGCATCTAGCAAATATTCATGCTTCACCTTAGGTAAACTCTTCGTCATTATATCGGCCTTCATAATTTCTGTAGGCACATATTCAAGATCAATCAATCCATTCTGTACTACCTCTCTTACATAATGATATCGTACATCGATGTGTTTACATCTGGAATGAAATACTGGATTTGAGGCTAACTTGATACAACTTTGATTGTCAACATTCATCAAAATTGGAGAGTCATCATTTCATAGTTCCATCAGCATTTTTCTGAGAAAGACACCCTCCTTACAAGCCTCACTTAGAGCAATATATTCAGACTCAGTAGTAGAAAGTGCAACACTTTTCTGCTTCTTTGCCTCCCAAGAAATAGGTCCATTTGCTAATTCAAAAATGTTTCCCGAGTAAGACTTCCTATCTTCTCCATTAGCATAATCTGAGTCAGAGTACCCAACAATGGATTTTCCTGTCTTAGAATACACCAAACACAGGTCCTTAGTTTTTCTTAGATAACGCAATACATGCTTGGCACATTTCCAATGTTCAGCCGTGGCACAAGAATTGTATTGACCTAGGAAACTGGCTGCAAAAGCAATGTCAGGTCTTGCTATAAGAGCTAAGTAATTGAGGCAGCCAACCAAACTTTGATAAGAGAAAATCTCACTTAACTTATCAGAATTGTTTCTGTCTAGCTTACAACCAGCAGGAAGAGGTGTAGATACATTTTTACAGTTTATCATGGCAAACTTTTCCAGTATCTTGCATATGTATTCCTCTTGATCTACATAAATACTTCCATTCCTTTTCCTAATTCTCATACCTAACAAGTACTTAGTTTCTCCAAGATCTTTTAATCTGAACTTAGATCCTAGTTTCTTTACAAGTCTTTCTTTTTCAGAGATATCATTGGTTACAATTAAGAAATCATCAACATATAATGCTAAAACAGTAAATGAATCATCCATCTTTCTGTAAAACATACATGGCTCATTAACAGAAACTTCATAACCAAGAGTTACCAACTCTTTAGTAATAGTAGTATTCCATGTACGTGAAGCTTGCTTCAATCCATACAAAGCTTTGTTTAATAGACAAACTTTATTTTCCAATCCTTCAACAGTAAAACCCTCAGGCTGAGTCATGTATATTTCTTCTTCTAATTCTCCATTCAAGAAGGCTGTGCAAATATCAAGACTATACATCTTCAAATTTAACTCAACAGTCAAGGCTAACAAAAATCTTATTACAGACCTTCCAACAACTGGTGAATAAGTCTCATTATAGTCAATCCCATCAATTTGAGAAAAACCTCTAGCAACTAAGCGTGCCTTGTATTTGGGATCACTCTGTAAGTCCTTTTTAACTACATACACCCACTTACATGAGATAGCTTTCTTACCTTTGGGCAGCTCTACTAGATTCCATGTATTATTCTGAATGAGTGCATCATACTCCTCTTTCATTGCCCTTTTCCAATTATTTTTATCAGGTCCTCTAACAGCACTTGAATATGAATCTGGACAGTTGTCAACAAAACTTTCAACAGTCATGAAATTAGTTTCATAATCCTGCAACCACAATGGTGGGCGTCTAACCCTCATCATTGTACCTGGTTCATTCTCAACCTGTTGTACAGGAACTGCAAGTACATCATCAGTTTCAGCATCACTTAATACAGATGCAACCGGAGTATGATCACTCTCATTCAGATTTACAGTAGAGTCATCTAATACTTTTTCTGCATCAGGTTGATCCCCACTATCAGAGATCTCAGACCCAAAATAGCTAGGCTTGATGAAATCAGTAGATGCATTTACATTCTCTTCATCTACACTAGCCCTTACATTTTCCAAGAAAATGACATCTCGTGCAAATGTTACCGATTTAGGGTTGGACAGATCAATCAGTCTGTAGTTTCCAGACTTCTCACAGTATCCTACAAAACACATCCCCTTCGATTTAGAATCCCATTTAAGCCTATTTTCCTTTGGTACATGCATGTATGCCACACATCCAAATACTTTAAAATGGGATACATTAGTCTTTTCCCCAGACCAGCATTCCTGTGGCGTCTTATTTATCAAAGCTTTGTGTGGAACCCTATTTTTAATGTAAGTTGCCGTATTGATGGCTTCTGCCCACATTCGCTTATTACACTTTGCTTCACTCATCAGACATCTGGCCATCTCACAAAGACTACGATTAACCCTTTCGGCTAATCCATTTTGTTGAGGATTATAAGGTACTGTCACATGATGCTCTATCCCATTTTGCTCGAGATAATCAGAGAAATGTTTAGAAATATATTCCCCACCATTGTCAGTTCGTAGGGCTTTAATAGTCTTCCCAACTTGATTCTCAACGAAAGCCTTGAAATTACAATAAACAGTAAACACTTCATTCTTAGACTTTATGAAATATACAAAAACCTTTCTAGAGAATTCATCAGTAAAGGTAAGAAT